TGCTTTCAAGGCTGTCTTTGACATAAAGGAGCATTAGTGATCTTTTGTGCACCTAGAAAGAGTTTTAAAAATAGAATGAGAAGAGGCATGAAAGACTACAAAACAAATGAAACTGTGAGTAAAAAGGAGAATAGGCCGATCTGTCAGCTATTCCCTTTATTTATACTCAAAGTGACTGTTTAGCTGTTTCGTGAACCGACGTTTTGTCCTTCACTGCTGTAGTGATTATGATTAATTATGCCAGGGGTTTTCTTAATCCAATGACAACGTCAGTCACCCAAATATGATGATCTCCTTGCTACGTGTAAGGTCGCTGCACGTTTTCTAGTATACAAACTTAATTGAACTGACTGTGCAAGCATTAAAGGGATAGTTCACCCAAAAATGAAGATTCTGTCATCATTTACTCAAGTTGTTGCAAACCTGTTTGAGTTTCTTTCTTCTGTTCAACACAAAAAAAGATATTCTAAAGAATGTTGGTAACCAAATAGTTGCTGGTAGCCTTTGACTTCCATAGTGTTTTTTTTTTCTTTCTATGGAAGTCAATGGCTACCGGTTACGGTCTTGCTGTTTTTTTGTATTACCAAAATATTTTTCAATTGTCTGTTGATTACGTAATACATTGACTTGAGTTATAACCTTTACAAGTGTACTAACAGTACGTATGTATATTGACTACACATTCCAAGATGATTTTTCAGCGGCTCTTTCTGCAGGTAGGTAGATCTTTACGCCTGTAGGTGGCGTCTTTATGAGTGAGTCAATGAACCGATTAATTGAACGCTGATTCGTTTAGGAACTGACTTTATGAATAAGTAATTGAATTGCTCTCTAAACCTATTCATTTCAAAAAAACATTCAGGAACGAAAAAAATGAAAATTTTTTATGAATGAGTCATGAGTCATTAAATCAGATATTTAAAAAAAATTGTTCAGCAACACTGATTTACTCAGGATTCATTCTCTCTCTTAATTTTGTTTCAATTGTCTGGCTCACTCATTTTATTTATAATATATAATACACAACATTAGTATAACAATATTAGTTACAATATTGTACACACATCTTTATATTTTTTTTATTTTTTTATCCACAGAATATTCAATTTTCTGATACACCTGTAAGGGCTATACCTTTATATATTATACAATCAAGACATCAATATTTTAGTAATACATTTTCTGAAAACTATATGGTGGATATTCTGCTTCTCACAAGGTGCCTTTATTAATAACGAAACGTGAGCATGTGTCCCAGCCTTTGCCATTTTCCATCTATGACCTGAGAGTCATGTCTCTCCCTCCATCTACACAATTGGATTTTTCACACCCTCATGCAGCTTTGATGATTTTCAAAGCTTCACATCTGTCCTCCTGCATTCGACAGAACAGAAACCAGTGACTGTGCGTGGTGACAGTCCGGACTAGCGAGTCGATGCAGGTGGTCATCCTTTCCTTTCATCACGTCGCTGTTAGCCTGAGCGGAGAGGTACAGTGAGACCGTGATGTTGGAGGCCAGTTTGTGTGCCAGCCCGGATCAGATGAGATGGGCTTTGATGTTTGGTGGGGGCCCGAGTCGCTCAAGCAGCTCAGATCCAATTTCTGACCCTTTTGTCGGCACACGCTCTGGGGTCAGAACTCTAATACCCCTTTGGCCTGTCAAGAGGGAGGGATTCTGATCCCTGCACAAACTCAGAACAACAGCAATTTCCAAGTAAGACTAGAGCCATTGATATTAACCAGCGTGCACCACAAGGAATTAAAATGCCGCATTAGATGGGCAACTGCAGGGTCTGATGCCGATTCACTATAGATTCGGTAGGGCTGGCTATTGACACAGATTTCACGATTTGATTCCAATTCACAAGCTCTTGATTCGATTCCGATCTTGATTCATTTGGATATATATCAGGTACAATGTTCATTCATGTTTACTTCGTGCTATTGTAGTAAAGTGGAAGAGATGATCGGTTCACATGCGCTCCGCGCTGTTACTTTAAATGAAACGCCTACAGCAATCATTCAATAGCAGCAAAATTTCAAAAAGTAAAAGCTAAAACTTTGTTTCTTGTCAAAAGTAACAAGGCACAAATCTTGTTGCAATTTCTGGTTGGCAGGCACACTACAAAAAAATATTTAGTGAGGTTTTTTTTCACGCCTCAACAGAAAACAGACTAACAGTCTGTTCACACCAATGACGATAACTATAACAATAAACAAAGTTTTGAAAATCTTTGTAATTCTATGAGAATAGGGAAGTTCACACCACAACTCTTAAAGGAACACTCCACTATTTTTGAAAATAGGCTCATTTTCCAACTCCCCTAGAGTTAAACAGTTGAGTTTTACCGTTTTCGAATCCATTCAGCCGATCTCCGGGTCTGGCGGTAGCACTTTTAGCTGTAGCTTAGCATAGATCATTGAATCTGATTAGACCGTTAGCATCTTGCTCAAAAACTACCCAAGAGTTTCTATATTTTTCCTATTTAAAACTTGACTCTTCTGTAGTTACATCGTGTACTAAGACCGACGGAAAATGAAAAGTTGCGATTTTCTAGGCCGATATGGCTAGGAACTAATTATCCGGCGTAATAATCAAGGAACTTTGCTGCGTACCATGGGTGCAGGAGTTGGAAAATGAGCCTATTTTTAAAAATAGTGGCGCGTTCCTTTAACAACACAAAGGAACAACATCATTGGAATAATTTTCGGAACAATTTTTCCAGCTGATGAATGACAAAACATTGACGATTAGAATGCAATCAAGCATTGATTGTATGTAATTTTTTGACTGTATTAAAAGCAGGGTAGGCGATTTCGGAAAGGTTAGAAATAGCAAGCTAGCTTTGAAAGCATAAAACCTAAAACAGGCAGACCAGAGGCTAACCAGCGACACTATGAGAGACTTTAGACCAGGTTTTTGTTGTACAATGGCGCAGTCTATTTCAGTTGCCTCAAAATAGCAACGCACCAGCAATGTGCCTAAACACACCTCATTATCAGACCAGCACGCCCATGGGTGCAAATGCATTTGCTATTTAAACAACGTGGTGCAGGACGTGAAAATGACAACTGCGTCGGGCTGAAACTAGCAAAAAACACTTGCGTCACACCTGGCGCTGCATTGCGCCAGGTGTATGATAGGGCCCTAAGAGTCATAACAGGGACACGCAACAAACAGCTGTCGCGATCATCTCAGATAGGATAAAGACAGCCTTGGGTAATGCGACCGCGTCGACCGGCCGTCTCTGCCAGATGTGACATTTCGTTGCGTTTCGCCTAAATGGCTCCGATAAAGAGTTCACTTGTGCAGTCCGGAGAGGATGAGACCAGCCTAAATGAGAACGGATGAGCCTGGCAGGCAATTCTCATTCAGTGCCGGGCTCGGCCCAATAATGAGGTGGATCTCAATTATGCCGCCACGGCGCTGTGAAATGGACCGGGGGCTCCCACCTCGATGCCTCCGGAGGCCCTTCAAGCCCCCTCGTCCAAATTGAACTGATGGAGCAGAAAAGCCATTTTGATTTTCGTTCTCACCTCTGAAAACACGGTTTGGTAGTGATAATGCCAGGCTGCCGTGGGCATCTGCCGTGCGCTCGCGAAGGGGGTCAGTCGTGGCATCGGTGGGTCCCTGTCGGACGTGCCGTATAGGGGCGTAATTGGATTTGTGCTGACAGTCTGTTGACACAGACATAATTAATTGGGGTGGCTGGATTGACACCCACTTAGATAGCCACATCATAAATGCATGAAACTTGGCGTGATAATTGCGATCGCTCCGCTAACTGCGGTGGGCTTGATTAATGATGCCGTCATCAGCATATGCCATAGCTGACCTCATGGTTATTGAGTTAGCAGGCTAATCAGAGAAGAGGTGGAACGTCTATGGCTCATTCGCACTCGAGAGAGGCACAAAAGATTGTTGAGGCTCTTCAAACAACTCTTATAACCTAATGAATGCAACAGCTGCCAGTAGAAGCAGTAGAAGCAACAACCCAGCACAGCGGGATCACTAAAACATGGCCTATAGACTTTGATTGTGGGGACAAAACAGGCTACAGAACTGGGAAAAAAAATTTAAATAAAATAATAATAATAATAATAAAAAAAAATATATATATATATATATATAGTATATATAAAGTATTGTGTATTTACTGTATATATCAAGGAATAGTTCGAATAGTTTTTTTTCCTTTTTTGGTTCAGCATGTTCAGAAGTGTCCACTTATGCTCCCCTGCTTCTTCTGTTCGAAAATGTGCTTTACCTCGCCTATCACTCAATACCCTTAGATACAAGAATACTGTCAAATTTTTATTATAAATATTGA